CCGGGGTGGGGGGGGGGGCGTCGGCCTGGGAAACCCAGCAGAGTGTCACCCCGGAGCCAGAGAGCCCATATTGCTGCAAACAAAAAAAAAGAATAAAAACAAAAGGAAAGAAAAAAAAAAAAAAAAAAAAAAAAAAACAAAAAGAGATAAGAATACTTTCGAAGACGGCCCAAGATGTACCCAAGACGGCTCAAGATGGCGTCATGACGGCCCAAGAGGCCTTCAAGAGGCCTCTAAGACGGCCCAAGACGTCTCCAAGAGTTCCCAAGAGGCCCGAAGAACGCCCAAAAGGCCCCCCAAGAGGCCCCAAGAGCACCTCAACAGCACCACCAAGAGGGGCTCATGAGGCCAAAATCGTCTGTTTTCCAATCGTGAGCCAATCCCTCCCTCCACCTCCCTCCGCCTCATCCTCCACCTCCTCCACCTACTCCTCCAGCTCCCTTTCCACCAACCAGATCGCATCGGGAGCGCCCCCGGATCGGCGGCACCGGCCGGAGGCCACTACAATAAGAAGAGGCGCCACGAAATCTGGGGAAATCTCATGGCCCCTAATCATGATATCCACCCCCCCCTTGTCATCACCCCCCTCTTTGTCGCCCCCGACTTCAGCGACCCCCGGCTCTGGGGGCCTCCTGGCACCTCGGGCGGGGGATAGGTTGGGGGCAGGGGGGGGGGGGCGGTGGCGTGTGGGTCACTTTACAACCAGAAGCGCACTTTACAACCATATGGGTCACTTTACAACCAGCTTACATAATCCGAGAAGGGCACTTTACAACCAGGAAGGGCACTTTACAACCAGGCAAGTAAAAACACATATTGAATGCACGCGTGCCTTTCCCTGAAATCTCCGTGGGCAAGCGCAAGGGTGGCTTTGGGCTCTTTGAGGCATGTTGGTTGTAAAGTAACCCATCTGGTTGTAAAGTGGTTGTTCTGGTTGTAAAGAGACCGAATCTCGGGGGCGGTGGGGGCAGGGCCTGGGGCGGCAGCACGGCCGGCCAGCGCCGCCCCGCTGACGCGGGGAGGCGGCATCAGCTTCTCGGCCCCTCGAAGGCGAGGCCCCTCCTCCTGGCATCGCCCCCCCCCCGCAGGGCGAGCGCGCGCGGCCTGCGGCCGGTCCGCCAGGTTCGCTCTCCTTGCAGGGGCCCAGGGACACACAAATAGACAGGCACAATCCCAGGACTCCCCTATATGTTCCCATATTTTCCAGATGCTCGTCTCCCCCCCCACCTCAATATCTTATTATATATTTTCCTGGGGATCGAAGATTGTTAGGGTCTGTGTGTTTTTGTTCCCCTCCTGACTCCTGCCCATGACCCACGTGCGCACGGCCGCGTGCCCCACCAGGACGGCCACGTCGCAGGCGAGGCTGGCCCTGCCCAGGGAATCCAGGTACTCCTCGAACGTCTCGAGGGCCCGGGCGCGCCGACGAGGGGGGCCCAGGGAGGGAGGGGGTTCCTCGTCCTCCCCCTCCTCCTCCTCCTCCTCCTCCTCCTCCTCCTCCTCCTCCTCCTCCTCCTCCTCCTCCTTCCTCCTCCTCTCTCCTCCCCTCCTCCTCCTCCTCCTCCTCCTCCCCTCCTCCTCCTCCTACTCCTCCTCCTCGCCTCCTCCTCCTCCTCCTCCTCCTCCTCCTCCTCCTCCCCTCCTCCTCCCTTCCTCCTCCTCCTCCTTCTCCTCCTCCTCCTCCTCCTCCTCCTCCTCCTCCTCTCCCTCCTCCTCCTCCTCCTCCTCCTCCTCTCCTCCTCCTCCTCCGCCTCCTCCTCCTCCTCTCCTCCTCCTCCTCCCTCCTCCTCCTCCTCCTCCCTCTCCTCCTCCTCCTCCTCTCCACCTCCTCCTCCTCCTCTCCACCTCCACACTCCACCTCTTCTCCTCCTCCAACTCCTCCTCCTCCTCCTCCTTCACCTCTTCCTACTCCTCCTCCTCCTATCCTGCTCCTCTTCTTCCTCCTCCTCCTCCTCCCGAGCAGCAACGCTAGATGGGGGGACACAGGCTCCGTGGGGGAAACATCGACCAGGAATCGGCGATGCATCGCCGACAGATCGGCGACAGGCCCCCGAGATCGAAGCCGCACCCTCCTGGGCGGGGGGGGTTGTCAGGCCCCCATCGGCGATCCGTGGGCGATGGATGGTCGAGGCGTCCACTCCTGAGCCTATCCCCTCGCAAAGTTGCCCCTGGGGAGTGTGTGGGCTTAGCGCGTCGCTGCCCGAGGCATGTGCGCGGATGAGGAGGGAGTTCTGGGGAGAGTGCTGAGAGAAGAAAGGGTGGCCGTGAAGATTTTGGGCGTTGCTTAATGGGGGGGTCACAAATGGGGGGGTCAGAAACGGTCCCCTTTCGTGCCCCTTTCGGGCCCCTCCGAGGCCCCAGGGGGCTCGTTTGGGTACCGTTTGGGTACCTTTTCGGACCACCCTCGCCACCCCCCCATTTATGACCCCTCCATTACGCAACGCCCAAAGGTTGGGAGATGCTGGTGGCTCCGGCCATGAGATCTCCCCCCCTGGTCCTCGGCCCTCCTCTTGGACGCCCCCGAGAAGTCGTAGGTGAGGCCCTCCGCGATGACCCTGCCAGGGATGTCTTCGACGGACTCCACCAGGGTGGACAGGAACTCGCGGCGATCTTTCTGGCACGGCGCGTACCCGATCCCGCAGTTGCCCATGACAGCGGTGGTGACTCCACAGGACCGCAGGGTGGACGAGGATGAGGATGAGGAAAGAGAGAGAGAGAGAGAACAACAAAAAAAGAAAGCAAGAGAGAGAGAGAGAGAGAGAACACATAAACATAAAGGGAGGAATGAGGAGGATGAGGACCAGCGTAAGCCCCATCCCATTCTGAAAAGGAGGAGAAGGGGGAGGAGGACGAAGAGGAGAAACAGGAGCAGGAGGGGAAAAGAGTAACACACCTGGCTCACGAGGACTTCGCCCTTTTGCAGCCTGCTGGCAACCGCTGCGGCAACTGGCTCCGCTCTCTCTCTCTCTCTCTCGTTCTCCCCGTCCGCTCGCTGCGCGATCGGGCTTCCACGCCCCGCCGGAAAACCACGAACACGCGAGGATGATGAAAAGGGCAGCGCTCGGAGAGAACTGGACCAGTGGGCGAACCATAGACCTGGAATCGGCGGCACATCGCCTTTAGATCGGTGATGGGCCTCCGATCGAGAATCCGCATGTTCCTCAAGGGCTCCCAACTTCGCGCTTCGCGCTGCGCGCTGCGCGAAGTGCGAATAACTTCGCGCTCTCGCGCCGCCTCCCAAGGGAGAAGAGGAGGGTGAGGAGGAATCGGAGCCGAATCGCGAGGCGCGAATGACTTCGCGCACTCGAGGGCGGGCTGCCGGGCCCCCCGTCGGCGATGAATGGGCGATAGGGGCAGATGCGCCCCTCGCTGAGCCCGTCCCCTCCCGAGGATGCCCGATGACAGGACCAGGCTTAGGGGACTGCGGACCACGAGAGGAGCCTCCGAGGACGAGGCACGAAGCCAAAGACACAAACCCACACCGGGATGGCAGCGGAGATACTCGACCCGCTGTGCGCGCAGATGGGAATCGGCCCCGTGAGAGAAGAGGAGGAGGCGGAGGAGGAGGAGGAGGAGGAGGAGGAGGAGGAGGAGGAGAAGGAGGAGGAGGGGGGAGGGGGGAGGGAGGAGGAAGAGGAGGGGACTACAAAAGTGCCCCCCCAAAAAAAATAAGATGAAGTAGATACAAAAAAAGAAAGGGGAAAAAAAGATAAACGAGGATAAAAGAAGAAGCAGTCGGAAGAGGCACGGTAGGACGCACTCGCGACAGGTCCGGGTCCCACTACCACTGCCGCGTCTAGTGGCTGTGGTGAGCGTCCGATCCACCCCCGGCGCCACGACCAGCCCGCGAGCGTCGATCTCCTGACTGCCCCGTCCCGCGCTGGCCGGCGAGACCTCCGCCCTCCTTCAGATATGGGCCATGGCCCTCCAGACCGCGTCGCCCTCCACCTCCTCCTCGCTCCTCCCAACCCCTCCTCATCCTCCTCCTCCTCCTCTCCTCCTCCTCCTCCTCCCTCCTCCTCCTCTCCACGTCCTCCTCCTCCTCCTCCTCCTCCTCCTCCTCCTCTCCACCTCTACCTCCACCTCCTCCTCCTCCTCCTCCCCCTCCTCCTTCTCCTCCATGTTCCCTCTCTCCCACGTCCAAGAAGTAGCGAGGAGAAGTGGGGGGAAGAGGAGAAGGAGGAGGAGGATTGAAGAGGTTCCTTCACGAAACTCGGCAAGGTTTGCACCCGTCAGATCACCAGCTCGGGCAGAAGAGCTCTCGACTTGCTTGAGGCAAGGAGGCTCCCAAGGGCATTGAGGCTTGGCCTGGGCCCGAGCCCCAGCTGGAGCCGCCCCAGCCAGATGCCGTTGAGTGATTTTCGAGGATAAGGGGTCTGTTATAGGCTCCAAGTTGGGGGATGGAACCGCAATCGGGGGCCAGAAAAACATGGATGGGCCCCTCAAGAAATTTCAATTGGGCACCGCGATGTGTACCCCGCAACCTTCCCCAGGGTCCGGTGGCAATGCAACAGGTTGCCAAGTCGCCGCACGAACGCGAGCAGGACGTAGCCACTTCCTCTCGATGTTGGCGAGCTCGCCACCACGCCGAAGCCCTGGAGGGAGCACGAAGCCCAGCAGCAGGGTCGCCACCTGCTGCTGCCTCTGCCTGCTGCTCTATCTCGCTGCGCGCGTCGCAGACGGAGCGAACACCCTGAACGCCTGCATCAAGCGAGCACGACGAGAAAACCCAAGCTCCACAAATTGGGGCGACAAAAAGGTACCGATACCGCTACTCCCCGGACCTCTCACGGGGTGCGTTCTGATCAGGATTTCGAGGCGAAGCCAGGATTTCGAGGCGAACCCAGCGGTGGCAACGAGGGCCTCCGAGGAGGCCCAAAACGGGGAAAACGGGCGAAGGTAGAGATATGGGCTCCTTTTCCTCCTCCTCCTCCTCCTCCTCCTCCTCCTCCTCCTCCTCCTCCTCTGACAAGTACACCGCATCCCAAGCCCGGGCTGGCCGCAGCAAGCGCGCCCTCGGGCGCTTCGCCGGCGCCGGCGGCGCCCTCGGCTGGGGCGCGCCCCCGGGCCCCTCGGGGGGGGGGTGGGCTCGGCGGGCGGGCCCGCTCCCCCCGGCGGCAAGCAGCCCGCGCTGGGCCGAAGCGCGGCGGCCGAAGCGCGGGCGCTGGGTGGGCGGGCCCACTGGCGCTGGGCGGGGCGGTTAGCCTGGTGCGGTTCGCCTGGTGCGGTCAGCCTGGTGCGGATAGCCCGGTGCGGATAGCCCGGTGCCTCAGCCTGGTGCCGTGAGCCTGGGTGCAGTCAGCCTGGTGCGGATAGCCCAGTGCTGTTAGCCTGGTGCCTTAGCCTGGTGCGGTCAGCCTGATGCGCTTTGCCTGGTGCGGATGGCCTGGTGCTGTTAGCCTGGTGCGTTTAGCCTGGTGCCTTAGCATGGTGCGGTTAGCCTGGTGCGGTTAGCATTGTGCGGTTAGCCTGATGCCTTAGCCTGGTGCGGTTAGCCTGGTGTCGTAGCCTGGTGCTTGAACCTGGTGCCGTAGCCTGGTGCGTTAGCCTGGTGCTTTGACCTAGTGCTTTAACCTGGTATCGCGCTTACGGTTAAGAACCCAACGTTTACATTTAAGACCTTCCTTCCCGCGGGTGGGTCGCGGGTGGGTAGCGGGCGGGTCGCGGGCCGGATCGCGGTGGGGACGACGATAACAACAACAACAACAACCCAACGCGGCAATCCGCGCCGCGGAGCCCCACTTCAGCCACGCAAACAGGAACAGTGAATGATGACCGTTCGGCCCCCTCACTCTGATTCATAAAAAAAGAGGAGGAGGAGGAGGAGGAGGAGGAGGAGGATGAAGAGGAGCAGGAAACGCTCTCTCCACCGCTGCCTGCCCCGCGCGGCAACGTGCGGGCCCACCTCGGAGATCACGCCACCTGTAGGGTCCCAGCAAAGGACGCTCGCGCCCGGGGCCATGCACGTAAGCATGCCACTCCTCCTCGTCCTCCTCCTCCTCCTCCATCTCCTCTCCTCCCTCTCCCTTTTAAACGCCCCTCGCCCCACGTGCTTCTCTCACTTCTTACTTCCGTTGAACAGTTCGCGAGGCCGCCCTCGCGCCACGAACCCTCGCGCGATGCGCGCTCTCGAAGCCCATGCGAGCCGAGCTCACGTGCGCGTGCGTCCTCCAGTGCGGTCAGGCAGTCTCCTACCCCCTAGGGGGGGAGGGGGGGAGGGACAGGAGGAGGAGGAGGAGGAGGAGGAGGAGGAGGACGAGGAGGAGGAGGCCGATTCCCTCACCTCGCCCTTCCCCTTCCTCTGCACGTGCACGTGGGGGGTATTGTCTCTTTGCATTCTCTCTCTTTCCTTAAAGCAGGGGCTTCGAACCTCGTGGGCCCTCAGGTAGCGAGCGAGGAGGAGGAGGAGGAGGAGCAGGTAATGAAGAGGAGAAGGAGGAGGAGGAGGAGGAGGAGGAGGAGGAGGGAGAATGGAGGAGGGAGGGGGACGAGTGGGAGGGAGGATGGAGAGGAGGGTTGACGCGCTGGCGGGCCACTCTGCGCACAAGGCCGGGCTGCAAAACACTCCACAGGCAAGGGTGCTGCTACCAAAACTGACGGGAGATGTGTCGGCCGAATGCTCCCGCAAGCGTGGGAGCCGTGAGCTCTGCTTACAACTACTGTCAGCCTTGCAGCAATTCACTGAACACAGCGCAGGCAACGCAAGAGGAGGGAGGAAGAAGGGAGGAGAGACCCCCTCGTGACTGCGCTGGCAGTCCTCCCAGGAATCCAGGCACACGACTTTTTCAATGCGCGGCCCCAGAGGTCCCGACCCCTTCCCTGTGGCAAATCTTTCGACAACGGGCCCCAGAAGCCTAGATCGAGGAAAAACAGCCAGCGAACAAAAATCATATCGTCTGAGACCTGGGAACGCGCCTGGCCATGGCGACGAGAACCTCCAGGAGCGTCCAGCAGAGCGTGAGCCTTCGACCCTCGGTCTGGCATAGAAGGCAGAAAGTCCACCCCGATAACAAGCACCCCGACAAGCGAAGCCGTTTAGTAAACGCACCCAAGGAAGGAATCGAGCAGGGTGGGGTTGTTTAGTAAACGCCCAGAGCCGTTCAGTAAACGCCAATTGCCGGGGTCTGGGTGCTTTTTCGGCCCCGAGGCGAGGCCACCGACGACCGCGACGTCGCCGACGAAGGGCGCCGCGCCCGACCCGTCCACGACGAGGCCGCCCCGGACGACGAGGTCTGGCCGCTCGCGGCCTGGCTCCCCGGGCGGGGAGGCGGCTGCTGGCGGCGAGGCCATGCCCATGCCGCGAGGGGGGGGATGGGGAGGGGGAGGAGGAGGAGGAGGAGGAGGAGGAGGAGGAGGAGGAGGAGGAGGAGGAGGAGGAGGAGGAGGAGGGGGGAGGAGGAGGAGGAGGAGGAGAAGGAGGAGGAGGAGGAGGAGGAGGAGGAGGACCAGTGTAAACCCAAGAGACATCAACGATGTTGGAATGAACCCTCCCTCCAAGCT